TGCAAAATCTTGAAGTGCAGTCTTGTCTTCAAGCCAGGCTGTTAAAGGAATCCAGGAAAAACCCAGAACATCATTCTGAAATTTCAAATTTCTGTATTGTCCTGCTGCTTCTGGGCATACCTGATACACTTGTCAGGCAGTGCCCAGATGGAAGACTTGAAGGAATCATCTGAAAAAAAGCACAAGAATTCTAATGAAAACTGCTTTTTCTCCTTTGCTTCAATGCAGACAGCAGCACTGCCTTGTTGAAGGTTTATATATAATCACACTGTAATATTTGAGTTGATAGTCTGCTTACAAGCACTGCATGGAAGTGTATTGGGATATTCTTTCATGTCAAGCTTCCCCCACTGCATGTCCCTTCTGTAGATCATTTGCAAGCCACATACAGTGGGTGGATGAGGTGATAGACCACTTAACAGCTGTTGAATAGATCAACCACTACTTGGAGCTTGCATGTATGCAAAAGAATTCTGTTTGCTCTGACCTCCCCCCTCTCCTTTTAATCTTTTCAAAAGCTAAACATGCATTCTGTTGCATGCATGCTCTGCTGTGTAAAGACTGCAGCAGCTTCCCAGAGCCTTTTCAGCCTACTGATGGCTCGTGGCAAGTGTGGAGCTATAGACCTATTGGGCAGAATACAAAGATGGAGGGCAAAGCCAGGACAGAAAAGCAAGTGTGCACCACTGTAACAGAGCCCCTTTATTGTGAGTAAAGCACTTTGCAGCAGTGTCCAGCCAGAATGATGCTTAACTAGGGACTTTGGTTTGTGGTAGAAAACAATCTTCTGGCATGCTGCTCAATTTTGCAAGTGTGTATAAGAAACTTCTCTGAAGAACTTTCAGTCTAAACAGTGAGGGAAACAGTGGACTGGACTGATGAGGGATAAATGTAGGCAAAACAGGAATGGGAGCTAATTCAGTGATCTCTTGTCAGACTTTGTAATTGTTGGGGTGAAAACCTAATATTACGATCAGCAAGTTTAAGTCAGAGCTTCATGGAAAAGGTGGTATTTGAGAGGTACATCTTCGTTCCCCAGTCTGGCACCTTTCAGGCACATACTCAGTTCCAGCATGCTGGCAGGGGTCTGTGGGTGCTCTTATCCAACACACATCCTGAAGGCACGAGGCTAGGAAATGCCGGGAAGCAACTCTGGCTAGGTGGATGGTTGTGTAGCCTCAGAGCCCTTCTCAAGGGTAGAAGGAGGTTGAAATATCAGACATTGTGACTGGTCACCAGTTTGAAGCCACTATTAACTAAGCCTCTGTGCGTATGGAGGGTCCTGAATACCCTTTTTGTGAGATGTGGTTCATCAGAATTATATAAGTACAATATTCCAAGTGTGCCTGTAGAATTGTATAAAGAGTAGTATAAATTAATATAAAAATGCCTCTAGTACAGTAGAGGTATATTTTGGCTTTATTCCTCTCTTAATGAATTCCCAACATGGAATTTGCCTTTTTTCCACAGCAGTCACACACCAAATTGGTGTTTGTTTTGTTTATTAATTGAGCCCTCCACGACCCCGCAATCCTTTCCCTGGTTGGTCACCACCAGCTGAGACCTCCTCATTATTTACATTGCAGTTTACATTGCATTGCACTTACTGTTTTAATGGACATTCACCTTGTTTGGAGAGAACATTTTGGAGTTAGTTTTACCCATCCTGAAAATTATCATCAGCAAATTTTGTCATTCATGCCTAGAAAAATATCATGAGAAAGCCAAACTTCATTTCTAATTCCGCAATATTGACACACAGTTTAAATAAGTGTAGGTCCCAGCCATTTGCAGCTCTCCATTGCAAGCACTATCCATTGCAAGCACTGTCCATTTATTCCTGCTCTCTGCTCCCTGTTTTAACAAGTTACCAACCTATGAAAAGACCAGCTTCTTGCTGTATCTTCCAGTCATTGGCCTCTTGGACTTTTAACTGATGATTGCTATCTGTAGCTCTTACCCTGTTCTGACATCCGGACCACTTCCTGCTTCCCTTCATGGAAAGCTGAATGGCTTTCCTGTTAGTGAAAGATAGGTGTGCCACCTATGAGTGTGTGACTTGACAGAGTGTTAGGGAAAAGAAGTCATAAGTATGTATGTGTGCATATTATATGATGGTGCACATACCAGTCCTGTGCACATTTATAAAGCAACTTGCTTGTGGTTTGGCAGATAGTCTTTTGGTAGCATGGAAGCAAAAGTATCTGGTCTGTCAAGGATATATTATCATGTTAAGTTCTTTCTAGGAGTACCCTAGTCCATGGCTATTGGAGTGTTGCTGATATTAAGTACGATATGGAGGCTGATGTCTTCCAAGCATGCATTGTAAATGATGGAGATGGAACTGGATCATAAATTTGAGCTTTCTGCTTTAGTGCACTTCTAGTTGCACTTATGGTAGCGCTCAATATGTACAGAAGCAGGTTTAGAGATGTAATTTAGATTTAGGATGTGCAAGTAAAAGCTTCTGCCATGCACAGCTGCACTTGAGTAGCCAGACACATCTAAGCAGGGTTCAGGAACTGAACATTTAATTTCTACTCACAGTTCAAAATCGATATGTCCTGGGGTGTCCAGCTCTGGTCCTGTAAACCCTAGGTAGCCCTTGGAAGATAAATCCTTTTTCAGAGAGACAGTATCACCAGCATAAACAATGAGTTTAAATTGTTTTAAATGTGGAAGGAAGGGGAAGGAAGGGACCTGGGAGAGTCCTTCAGTGATGGTGAGTTGGAAACTTGAGTGCATGTGGGTTTGGGATACATGACTCTAGAGCTGCTTGTACCATTATAGAAGGTTATGGATTATATTCTTATATTAAAGTCCAGTGCCAAAGTTGAAAGCACTGTTTGCTTTCTCTGATTTAGATGGCCCTTACATCAAATCAGAACTAAGATGGCAGGAAGTGACTTTTGGCAGGTGGACCCGAAGGTGGTTCAGGGCCCTAGCAGCTGTTACAAATCATCACCGTCCCACAGTAACGATTCTCCTTCATGAGCCTCTTGATACAAGCGTAGCAGTTGGTGTGTGACAAGTGGAGGTGTAGTCTGAAGCTGAAGGTGAGGGAGGAGACGGCAGCAAGCAGGAGGTGCTGGGGTGAACATGGGGATAAAGACACCTGGTGCCCTGTGATTCTGGGTCATGTGAAGAATTAGGCTTAAATCTAATTGGGGCATACTGAAGATGGAAGCACTTCCATAACTGGAACTGGGGGTGGGGGGTGGGCTGGATAGCGCCTTTGGTACCTTCAAAATCACCTCCAGAGCAGATTTTTCAGCGGCACCAAAGGCTGCAAGGGAGAGTAAGGCAGGAAGTCCCATTGCTCTAGCAGATTTTAGCCAGTGTAATGTTGGATGTATGCCTTGTATATAGAGAGGTTTAGAACTATAACTCATCCCTGATAGATTTCACCTCTTGCAGTAGGATTTTCTCTAGAAACAGTATCACACAGAACTAGCTTTTGTGCATAACATTTACTCTCCATGAGCTTCAGTTACAAAAATGCACTTTGACCTAAATGTATCTATAATGTTTTCCCTCTCAATAAGCCTTCTGGAGTATTTTATAAGTTGTGATCCTATGGGTTGAATTGAAATGATTCTCTGCCTGATCATTTTCTGTGAAATATGAACTCTTACTATACTGTTTAACTTTTGTTTAGCAAGCTGGGTTGTTTTTAAATTGGGAGTGGGTGGCTTTTGTCTTTCCACAGAACTGGTGGAATAGAACCCGGTTCTTGGTGAATTGGCGGGTCCTTGGAGTCATCGACAAGAATTGTTGCATGACCTTGATGTAAATCAGTCTTCAAACTTCCTGTGTTCAGGGAACCATTTTTATATTCATTTTCTGGCTGAGAAATCCTGGGTATCAGCTCTTGAATTCCTGCAGAAGATTCAGGAGTATATCTTCGGGTGCATGATCACATTGCTCAGTAGTAGAGCACATGTTTTGCATGCAGACATTTTAGAGCAGTCACTGATGTCTCCAATTTGACGGATCCAGTTGTGAGTGACATGAAAGACCCCTGCTAGAGAACTGGAGAGACAGTGCAAGTCTTAGTAGTCTGTGAGAAATGGACAAAACAATTGACCTGGTATAAAGCAGATTCCCTCCTGAAAAAGCTTGTTGAGCCACCTCATTGCTCTAGATAGTACACCATGGAGCACTGTGCATGTCGTTTCGTGGCTGCACATTGCAAAGGAGGGTTATAGGCAAAGCATCTCCATGAGGAGCTCCATGCTGGATCAGACCTGTCTAGTCTAGCATCCTGTTGACCTCATTCCTTCTTGTATATGACATAAGAAGCATCTGATTGACCTTTGATGCTGGAGATAGTATATCACCATCGTGCGTAGCTGTCATTGGTTGCCATCCTCAGTAAACATATCCTATCTTGTCCTAAAACCATCTTAGTTGATGTCTATCACCACAACTTGCGGTAGTGAACTCCACAGTTTAGCTGTATCTTATGTGGAGGAAAACCTCCTTTGGTTTGTCCTGAATCTCCAGTCCATTGGATTACCTTTGCATTCATTATGATGGAAGAGAGAGAAATCTCCCTCCCCCCTCCCCACACAAACACAAAAACACACACACAGAGAGAGGGAGAGAATCATGTCCTCTGAGAAGCACATCCTCTATTCTTGATCCTTACCGGGGGCAGGGGGGTAGGGGCCTCTGATAAGCTAGCTAGATTATTTTAAATTGTCTCCTATAAAAAAGTGTTTTGCACAGTGTTCCATTAGAATTCTCTTGATTTAAACAGAAAATGAAGGCAAAATCAGTCTAATAGTGGGCGCAGGGGTGTAATTGAAATTGGTTTGATGGGGTATGCCACCTTGATTGCATCTGTAACTTCCAGCCATACAAACATATTTACCATGTACTCCTAGGTTGCTGCACGTGGGAGTTTGGCTGCGTGGAATAAATGACCAAATATTCATGGGCTTTACTAGGAATTGCTTGGGCCTAAATTTGTTTCTGCTTTCTTCTGTTGTGAATAGGTAGAGGAGACATCCAGCCTCAGCTGGACAGTGCATTACAGGATGTGAATGATAAATACCTACTTCTCGAAGAGACAGAGAAACAGGCTGTTAGAAAGGCCCTAATTGAAGAACGTGGCAGATTCTGTGCATTTATTTCTATGCTGCGGCCTGTGATTGTGAGTTTCATTTCAAGCTCTTCTATCATTCATTTGCATGGAAATAGAACTTGAGTTCCTGAAGAGGGTCATGTGTTCCTAAGTTGATGTATTTTAATTCTCATCCTTGACTATTTCTTAAGTATTTTTAAGGCACAATCCTCTGCAGGTTTAGACAGATCTATAACTCTCAGCGTGTCTCAGTCAGCATAACTGTTTGCTGACTAAGGACTGAGCTCTTCTGCACTTTCTGAGCTACTTTTTCACAAAGCCATGTTACAAAAAAACTGAAGCAAGATACAGTGCAGATGGTGTATATTTAAAACAACTACACAATATTTGAGAAAGCTACTCTGGACACGCAAGCTGGGTCCAAAGGCAAAAGGAAGCTCGCCAGTATCCATCTGAATGTGCATTCTGACGAGCCTAGGTGTGGGTTCATTGGAAGGAGGTTCCATAGGATTGAGGCCACCTCTGAGAAGACCTTGTCTCTCATGGATGCCAACTTAAGCAGTTTCTCAAGAAAACAAAGCTGACAGGTTAGGAAAATAATGTGCATTCACATTAGAACTTTAGACGGCAGTCCTGAACACATTTAGTAGGGCATAAGCCCCACAAAACACATTCGAATTTCCAAGTAAAACGCACAGAATTGTGAAATAGTATTTGAACTGTCTAAAACAACTGGACAAAGTCATGAGATCACAAGTAACCTTGACCTGCCATATCTACAGAACAAATGGTTGAGCATTCCTGGGCAACATGGACCTTCCTCTCTTCCAAATATGAAAATCAAACTACGTTCACCTTTACTGTGCTTTGGCTCGATCAACTCAGGTTTGATCAGTTCCTTACGTAGCCCTTATTAATTTGAACCCAATGCGAGATTTCTGTTGAACAGAGGCGCCAGAAAGCAAGAGGCTTTGATGCCAAATAATCAGTGTGCTACAGAAGATTGGCCTTGGCACATCTCCTTTTTTTTTTTTTTGGGTAAAAACCTCATAGGTTACCAAACAGAGGCAGATATACAAAAGCCCTTCTGAGTCACCCTTTGCCACTTAGAATTAAGGAGCAAAGTACCTCTGAGCAAATGCTCAGCCCTAGTTTTCCATACTAGGCATTCCTCTCTTTCACATGTTTTCACATAGATTTGTGCCTGGATCTTTCCCTTGCAGCTGTCTTTATTAGAGTAATCTGAGAGGGGAGGAAGTGTTTTAATTATCAGTATTGTTAAACCTTCAAGGGTTAGAAATTCTTGCTGATTGTCTTTCTGTATAATGTTGGCAGCTACAGAGCCAGCCTTTTTAGTACCCCAAGGCATAAGTAGCTACCTACTTTGATGTTATTGAAATGGTGCTGGCTTAATAAATCCAGTGGTGTTTGTGTTTATTATGAATAAAAGGAAAGAGCTTGAATGTTGAAGAAAATTCTGCACACAGTAACGCTTAGTTTGAACAATGCTAATTTGCTAGATTTTTTAAAAATCTTATAGGAAGAGGAAATATCCATGCTTGGAGAAATAACTCATCTACAGACCATATCAGAAGATCTGAAGAGCCTCACCATGGATCCTCACAAGTTACCACAGTCAAGTGAACAGGTTTGTTTGAGGAAAAGCTAATATTTTCTATTTACTGTATTCGCTAAACTCTGAAGAAATGACAGTCCATATATGTGACTTTGTACTGTTCACTGCCCAGGTATATCTGGCAGATATAGAATGGTATGTCGGTTCTGTAAATGAAGAAAGCGTGCTTGGAACATTATCCATGGAGAATTAGTGTTGTTGCGGAGACCCCCCTCATCTGCAGAACTCCCCAGTAGACTGTGCCTTTGACCTTAATTTAAGTCAAAGGTTCTCAACTTAGGGTTGGCTGGAAACCAAATTCTAGAATCCTGGAACCCTATGGGGAGCTGTACTACTGCTTAATCTTAGTGCTGCTTTGATGAATTACAGATTGGTGTTTCCTTTTTAAAGATTCACAGTGTTTTCAAAAAACATTTCTTCAATCTGTAAAAGATGGAGAGATTGGGAAATATATTTGTCAAGTAGGACTTGCAATTAAATGTTGCACTGCAGGGTGGTTCTGTTCAGTGCGGCAGCCAGATATCCATGCCTCTTTCAGAATAATCAGTAGACCTTCCTTGACTACAGAGTCTCCACATTGGGTTGATATTTTAAGGGGTTGTCTTGACCATCTAAGGTTTTTTTTTTAATCTTTTGCATTCCCGCAAACCTTGTGGTTCCCCCAGATCTGCTGGTAACTCCTCCTTTTGTATGCATGGTGCTAGTTTGACTATATAATGATCCAAATTTAGAGAAAGAGTTTGCTAGTAGTATATACATAGATTTGGGAAATTGCTGTGTATCTTGCCGTGGCAGCACTCACCCGTGACCTGTTCAGAAATGAAGGATGGCGGTTAATGACATGACAGCTACCTTGATTTGTATTGCTAAAAATAAATGTATTGAGATGCCAGTGGCAGCAGTTTGCTTCGGTCCACATTAACTGTGGTGTCTATCTCTGCTTCTCCAGGTAATTCTAGATTTGAAAGGTTCTGATTATGGCTGGTCCTATCAGACTCCTCCATCTTCTCCCAGCACTACCATGTCTAGAAAATCTAGTGTTTGCAGGTAAGCAGAAACCCCTAATCATCTCTTTGTAAGTGATTCTAAATGCTGGCCTCACATCTGGAAGCTTTATTTTTCTCATACTTGGATTTCATGTTTCCTAATGTGGCTTGGGTGGTGCTCCTGGGCTTTGCTTGGATCCACTTGGGCTTTGCTTTGTCACTGCTCTACCATTACCACCACCTCCTTCTCTGTGTATGAATATTGAGCTTTCATTGGGTTCACATCCATGTTAAAAAGCAAATGGTATGAATGGTGCTCCTTTCCTTCTGAAAAGAAATGTTTGTGGGGAATAGTCGTTGTTCCCAGTTGCTTTGATGAAACAACCATATAAAGGGACTTGAGAAAACAAAGGTAAACTTCTGTTAGTACATAGGTAGATTTGAAAAAAATGTTGTGTTTTGTAGTGACCACATTCTTGAATGACCTGTTCTGCACAGTTAGATTTAGGATGTGCTATTTTTTGCAACTGCCCTGTGAATCTTTACGCTTTGTGGTATATTCAGTTTTGGGGGTGGGGGACAGCTTTACTTTCTCAGTAGATTAAACTATCCAAATGTATCAATTTCTCTTTCAACTTGCTGGAATAACATTCTTTAAACATAAAATGCAATAGCTCTTAACTGTTCAGCACTGTCTTAATTCAGTTTAGTTTTTTGTTACTTTTTTTCTTTCTATGTTGGAACACTCAGATACCTTTTCTACCTCCTCCACGAAACTGTTTTCTCACAGCTAAAACAGTTTGGCCGCATGCATCTCCTCTTCCCTGCTCCCTTCCTGGCACACTGGTGTCTAAGTCTCTCCTTTTCTCCAACAAAAGGAAGACAATTTGCCATGTGCCTCCCTTGCATTTCTTTCTAGCCTCTTCTATATATATCGTTAATGTTTGCCTTCCAAATTCACCTGAATCGGAAAGCTGACGCACCCTATGGCATGGGGGACCAGGATGACCTTGCATTTCCCTGCATAGCTAGCTGTCAGTGCATGCATATGTACAGTATCTATAGACAGGAGATCTATGGATATTTATTAAGCACAGGCTTTCAAACATGCAATATCCTGAAAAGTAAAAGGAAAATGGCCAGCCGTACAATTCTGCTAACAGACTTAAGGCTGTAATGCTGTATTCCAACGGTAAACGGCATGACTGTGTGTCTCCCCTGCCCCAGTTCAAATTGGAGGTCACAGAGGGTACAGACTTTCCATAAAAGAAATCAACAAGTGATCCCTTCAAAGCTGTTGTGATTTCATCGAGTTGCACCCATACTTGAAGGTGGCATTTCAGGCGCAGGATTTTAAAGTTTAAAATGACCTACCTTCTAATTGTTAGCAACCTCTCCCCTGTCTTCAGTTGGGATTTAAAACTGTGATACAAGAATTGATAAATTCAGGTCAGCAGGGGTTCCAGATGCCCCTTCTGGTGATAAGCACCATTATGAGGCGAAATGGGCAGCCCCAGGAGGCAGATTTGGGCATGAATAGCAACAGCAGAGTGAGAGAAGGACCCAAATCGCATCCACAGGGCAAAATCCCCTGGGAAGATTTGCTGTGCATGCTTCCTGGGAGTGGCTTCAGTTCAAAATGGCGCTTGTGCACCATTCCCACTCACTTTAGTGGGCCTTGCAGCACAGTGGGTTGTGTCTCGCACTAAGCAGGTTTCAGAGATCCATTTTGATCCTCGGCCTCAGGTACATAAACCTCTTGAGTCAGCTGTAATCAGTATCTAATGCTGCATCACAAATATTTCTGTAAAATCACTAGCCCTCCTGCCTCCAAATACATGGTATATTACTGCTTGCCTTCCATGTGTTTGCCTGGTCTCCTGGAAGACATTCATAGTCGTCACAGGTGGCCAGGTACGTCACCGCAAGTCTGCTATAAGGTAGAATTCCCCTGGCAACCTCCTTACAATTGATTTGCCATTTTCCATGTGATTACTGAGGATACTGCAGCTCCTCACAACTCCAGCAGTTGTGCCATTTTATGATTTGTGCTGCATGCCTCCGCTGGAGAACCATGGAATGTTAATTGTACTGTGCTGGTCTCTCCCCCGCCCCTTTTTGTTTCTTCTTCCCTTTTTCCTGGTCCCTGTCTCTCTTCCTCTTGTATCTCACAGCAGTCTGAACAGTGTTAACAGTAGTGACTCCCGGTCAAGCGGCTCGCACTCTCACTCACCCAGTTCACACTATCGCTACCGCAGCTCCAATCTGCCTCAGCAGGCACCAATGAGGCTTTCCAGTGTGTCCTCGCATGACTCCGGATTCATGTCCCAGGATGCTTTTCAGTCCAAGTCGCCATCCCCGATGCCTCCAGAAGCACCCAACCAGGTACGTTTGGAGACAGTTGCATAAACAGAGCCCATCTTTGGCTTCTCTGCTTATGTCCTCCATAGGTTCCATAGCATTTTCATAGCATAGGCTAAAGGTTCCATAGCATTTTAGCAAGAAAGACAGGAGAACTGATGTTAATACATAAGCCAATTGCAGTGGTCTCTGCTCCAGGTTGTTTAGTTACCTGTCTTGCTGCATTTCTCTTCTGGTATATTACAGCTGCTCTCTAACTCTACTTTACCTGTAGCAGATCCTGTTTAAGCATGGCTTAAAGCAGGGGTGCAGAACCTCAAGCCCAGGGTCCAAATCTGGTGTGGGTCCCTTCCTCTGGCCTTACCCCAGCCCCACCTTCCTGCTCCCACCGACCCGGATCATTTGGTGTTTTCCTGGCTCTTGTGCTGCTCCCACCCCCTCCAAAAAGGTTGAAATGCCCTAGTGAGGCTTGCTTACTGGCATCAAGAACCTTAAGCTGAAATCTGCCAATATTTTTGGCTCAGACCCTTCTGCCTGAAGCCCTGCCCACTGATGAGGGCCATCCCTGAGGGCTTCTCCAAAGTGGAACTGAGCTCTTGGGCTGAAAGAGGTTCCGCGCCCTTGAGTTAAATTTGTTTGTTACCGCCAATAGGAACAGACTTGTTACAACCGCCAAAAACTAATATGTTGGGCGCTTTAATGTATTATAGGAAAGAGGCTTCCCTCTTCCCACACTGTCTTTCACGGTGCTTCCAGAAAGAGGACTCCTAGTGCTGCGTAGAAGGCATGGTGCACCTATTTTGTCTCTTTCCCCATAATGGATTTTCTATGGGAAGAAGAAAACCAGGAGATACTGTGGCAAAAGGCAGGAGGGTTACGAGTGGAAAGCCGCATCCTCTGGATCTCCTGCAACATTGCCCAAATGAGATGCGGCAGTGGCAGGGTAAAAGGCCCATCTGAAAGCACCCTCAAAGCGAGTGGATCACACTTTTTGTGTCGCATTTTGCAGAAACACGCTTGCAAGTGACTGACCAGGAAATGGATGCCTGAGAATTGACATCAGCCAAGGCTCCCCAAGTGGGAACGTGTGTATCACCCGTTCAGGATGTCACAGTTGGTAGAAGGCAGGCTATGAAGTCATGGGGACATGACTTTCAGCTTTAATAGTTCCCAAACAGAGGGAGATGTTGCACATTTTAATTGTGGCCGGTGATGACACAACACAGGTTCTTCATCGTGATTTCCATGCATCACGCATACGGACTCTGTGCCTGTGTGGAGCCTGTTGTGGGGAAGTTTATACAGCTGAGTGTTAGTTTGGTTGGCAGCCCCTCCCCTTTCTGTTTCCTGTGTCCATGGGAAGAGCTGCCACCCACTCCCTCAGTTCCTTTTTGACTGCTTCCATTTGACTGCTCTGTTAGCCAATCACTGACTCTCAGCCTAACCTACCTCACAGGGTTTTTGGGAGGATAAAATGGAGAGGAGGAGCCTATCTTAGATTCCTTGCAGGAAAAAGGTAAAGTAGTCATAGTCCAGCACATCTGCAGAGACCCAATCTCCATGAAAAAGGCAGCCATAGATTCTCCCATTCTATAAGAGCAGAAACTTCCACTCACATTTAGAAATTTCACATTTAATCAGTTTCTACATTGGGCATCATTACCTAAAGTGGATATGAAGAATTCACAGATGCACAATTCACTCACATTAAAGAGTGCTGCACAAGTTACTTGTTTTAGTGTACACTGAATAACACAGCACTTAGAATGTTGGATAGAATCCAGTGTGGTAGCAAATGTCAGCACATGTGGCTGGATTTACTCTCCAGGCACAGCCTTTGGCTGTCCCCATCTACTCTGGAGGGATGCTGTGCAGAGAGCACCTCCGCTCCTCACAGAAGGACTTGTATGATACAGACGTGCTTATCTGGGAGCCATGATTGGCTGAATGTGTTCTCAGTGGCAAACCTGGTTTTGTCTCAGTGGCGTGTTGAAATGGACTAGGCTCAGTCATCCTACTGTGCAATCACTTCCTCTCTTTCTTTTGCAAGGTGGGTTCCACATGGCACTGGCTTTTAAGAGGAGTTACACCACACTGCTCTTTCTGGGTCTGCCACCAGTGTTAGTTACCCAGATTTTTTAAGCTGGTTAAATTTTGATGGTGGGTTTTTTCAGAGCTCATCATAAGTTGAACCTTTCTCTGCTGACCCAGTCCCATGTGGATCTTTGCCGACTAGCATAAAGAATTATTGCTCAGTTGGAGTATTGGCTGTCTGAAACCGCTTTAAGCCTCATTGTAAACTCTGGATTTTGAGAAATAACTTATCTTAACCTTTTGCTGATAAATAGAAGTTCCAATGTTTTAAAAATAAACAGAAGTCCTTAGCATAATTTCAGCATGAGGATAAAGTGGATTGTTTTTCTGCCCTGGATGTTTTGGTTCTGCTCAGTGTCTCACTACTCACAGACTGCATCTAGTAATCATGTTGACAAGCTTCCACCAAGCTGTTTAATGTGCAGTGTGCCTGGTGTTTGTAACCAATTGACAGTGTCTCATTTTGGAATTTGTGTTCCAAGGGCAATGTGAGAAAGAAATAATCCTGGCAGTGCCATATGCCACGTTTGAAAGCCGAATGCATTTATAATAGTAACATTATGGTAGATGAAAGCACCATCCCATTTTCTTGGTGATGTGTTTGTGAATGGTTGGTGCCCTTTTCATGTAAGTTTGTTCTCTGTTGCTGAGGGACAAAAGAATGCAATGAACATTTAATACATTTCTTCTCATGGGGTAGACACAGAAAGGTTTGGGGCTGATCCCTGTAGAAACCATTTTCTATGTCAGTCAGTTTGGAGGTTTGAACTAGCAAGCTGGAGAGAGAGGTTCTATCACAAAAGGTGTCAAAGCAATCATGCTTGTTTTATGTTCAATTATACCTTGGTATGTAAATCATACAGCTATTTGGGTGAAGTTATGAGCCTAGAGTTCATCTGTACACACATAGAGCCTGTAGTATAAATGGGAAGTAATAGCATGCTCAGATGTCCAGTTCTTGGGCCAACAAACTCCCAAATCTATGCTCAGTGTCAGTTTTGCAGACCTTGCATTGAAATTGGCATATTGCTTGTGCAACAGTATTATTTACTGAAGTTTTGACTTGCCAAGCTCACCATTTTATGCTCATATGTGTTGCTTGCTTTTGTTCTTCGCTTGCTAATGTTGCCATAATGACATAGATGTGGGTTCATCTATAGTCTGGGAAAGCATGGTCTGCTGTAGAAGCAGAGAATCCTGCCTTGCTGACCCTCTGTAGCCCTTCCTTAAGTGCCTTTAAAACGCAGCAATAGATTTTGAATGCTTCCTAAGAAAAAAAATAAGTGGAAAGAGTGATATCAGAGTGACAATTAGTGGTTGGGTTTTTCAAGAAAGATCTGTATGCAGCTGTAAGGAGCCCGGGATTTTGCTTCTGATTCTTTCTTGACAAAGCCTCATGCATCCTCATCAAGCATTTCCTTGTGCATCTCTGAATAGTCTCTAGAGGAAGGCCTAGTTAGAGTCCTCTTGGATTATGCCCAAGCAGCCACTGCTGATTCCAGCAGATCAGTTTCCTCCTGTGCTAGTTTTTGGGTCATTTAGAGCCAGGGGGTGGTGTGGCAACCCTGCCCTTGAAATGGAAGTGTCAGGGGACTCCGCCATTTTTAAGGCATTGCTTTTGTCTCTCCTGCACTGTTACTGATCAGCACTGAAAACTTTCAGCTGTGTTTAATGACTGATTTTTTCCCCTGTAACCCCTAACACTCTGCTTCTCTCCTCCTCCTCTCTCTTGTGTATGTATTGTCCCTCTGTGTTTTATTGGTTTTGTTCTATCGGCTTGCCTTTTGTTTCCTTCTATTGCTGTGTTTGTGGTGCCGTTTTTGTTTTTTTCTTTTGGAAACCCAGCAGAATTCGTCCAGCTCGGCCTCCTCTGAAGCCTCTGAAACTTGCCAGTCAGTCAGCGAGTGCAGCTCCCCCACCTCAGTCAGTTCAGGCTCTACCATGGGGGCTTGGGCCTCCACAGAGAAGGTGAAAAAGGCGTCATCTCACAGTCGTGTTCATTGGTTTTCCCAGGCTCTGTGGTGTTCAAATCAAGATAATTCCATGAGTGCCAGTGGAGGATGAGAATATACAGATGAGAATGGGGAAACATCCTCACTCTTGGAAAAGAGCTAAACAAATGACTGTTTTTATGTTGTTCATTTGGCATTTGGAGTTTGTTCCCATAGATACTTTTAATGCCAAATTACTACCAGTCCACAGGAGTTTGGGGCTCATAACTGGTTTTCTGACTGCTCTGAATGCAGCCTGTTGCATCCTAGTAGAGGATATGCCAAGGCTTTGCATGTAATGAGTGTGACCCGGGTCACAGCATTCTGAAGACCATTTGCCAGGCATTTTGCAAGGACTCCTGTGGTAGGCAGTCAGGCTGCATTAGGAGCAGTTTTCCCACTATGGAAGCACCTTGATTAAAATAACAATAATTACAACTGCCCATACTTTGGCTTTTCTCATAAGTGAGACCAAAACTGGAAATGATACATCTTCAGGTGTCTAATGTGCTAAGTCTCCGCTAGTGCACTTTCCAAATTCTCTTTAAAATCCGGGAAGCCCTTGAAATATTCAAGTCTTTCAGGAATCCTAGAAGAAAGCTTTGGATAAATTCTGGCCTTGACCAGAAAGTGATGGATTTGCTCCAGTCTCATCTGGTGATGCCACTGAGTCACTCCTTCATTCCCTATCATTATGTTATTTGTGGAATATGTTATTTTCTGAGGCTGAGCAGCTGCTGCTCTCACTTGAATGGAATGCAAAAATGCTAACCCAGAAGGCATGTTAACTGCTTTGGAAAGGTTGCCTCTTGCTTCTGGAGGCTGAACAGAAGCTTTCAATAGATGCACTGGTGCATTAAGAAACACGGCTTCACAGCACTTTCCTCCTCCCTGCCGTGTTTATCTGGCATACTAAGACTGACAGATACTCGGAGAGGGATGCCGCTTTAGCACAGTTGCACAAGGCTGTTCAGCCCCTGAAAACGAGTTTTTTTTTTCCTTTCTTGGATATTACTGCATATATGAATAACAGAGCATGTGCAAGCGCTATGTAGGTGTTCAGTTGCCAATGTTACCAAATCTTCATGGGGTATGCTCCCCCGGCCCTCTTTTTTCTCTCCGGTGGTGCATGCCTGATTCGTCTTGTATTTTTCCCATATTTTGTCCTATTTATATTAATTTCTCTCCTTTTTCAATTTTTATTTTTGTTTGTTTCCAGTTGTCTAATGGCTATTATCACTGTAGTTTGTCCAGTGGCCCATCCTTAGCCTCAGTTGGTGCAGGCCCTTCCCCTCATATCCTGTCTGTCTCCCACGCATGGACCCGGGCTTCTTCCTCCACCCTCCTTCCAGACTACGCTCATTATTACACCATTGGGCCAGGCATGTTACCATCATCTAAGATCCCTAGCTGGAAGGTTTGTGTTTCTTTTGTTTCTGTCACATTCTCTCCTTTCCATTCCCACCCCACCCAACTCTACTGCAAGATTTTGCTTCTGAAATATCATTTAATTCTCGGTTGATTTTTCCTCCCTTCAGCACTTAACACCATTCTGAATTTCCTGTCTGAGAGGGGATTCTTCCCTGCCTCATAACCCCAGTAAATCAATAAATAAGAGAACTTGGTGTTATTTGAATCAGCATGTCGACAGCTTTACAATCTATGCAGTGCATCGAGAGTTCAGGATACATCTAATTCAAAAGTTGGCGCTCGCAAGATAACTTGTTGATGTGACCTAACAGAGTGCATGCATGTGTTAATTGAATATTGAAGCTGCTTCTCTGTATTGACTTTTTTACAGGGATGATCCCATGAGCAGGACTTGTGGATCTTGAACATGGCTTCATCCCTGAAAAAAGCTTGGCAGAAAGCTGCTGTTAGTTTTCCCATGTGTGTGCACTCCATAGGATCATGCCAAGAAGGACTTCCTGCTAGCGCCAAACATAGCAGGAGAACTGGCCTCTTAAAATGGATTTGTTGTGTAGGGTTTATATGTATAAACATATATCTATGGAGTATGTTTGCTAGGTTTTTAAAATATGCTTTAAAGGGAGTGTGTTTGGGAAGAGGGGGGAAGTGTAAGTGCAGATGATGGCAGAGAGAACTTGAGCACGGACCCTCATGCTCTAGACATCTGACCCTTGTCTGTCTGTCCCAGGACACACTGAGAACAGACTCCAGAGTACAGAATACTTGCATCTCATGTGAAGGAGGCATATACATGTGCTTTTCTGTATGTAAAAATATGCAGAATCAGTGGCCAAGAAATAGTTATGCCTCTGTTCTCGTTTAAAGAAAAATGCAGTGATTTACACCCTTGAACTTGACACGTTATGCATGGGTATTTCTACATAAATAGAAAAAAAAGCATGAGAAACAGCCCTGGGAACACTCACCTAAACTCTGAATGCTGAAGCTAAGTTTCAGTACTTTTAAAATTAAAGTACTTTTTTGTTTGCTGTACCATACAAAAAGGAACATGGGCACACACATGGGTGTACTGTAAGTGGGTGGATAGCAGCTACATGAAATGTTTAACTGAATCCATATAATGGGCAGATTCTGGGCTGCTCTAGTGGAGTGGTGCGTATCAGTTCAATGCTGCCAATTGTTGTTCAAGCCTTCAGAATTGTAAGAATCCAGAGAAAGTAGTAGCTTGCTAGTCCTCTCCTATTCCTGACTTAGCTCATCAATGTTATTTGCCTCCAGAGAAGTTCTGGTTAGACTCTTCCACAGACTCTTCCTTTTAGCAAATAGTATTTGACTCTTTATGGGCTCACAGAGTTTCATTTATATTATTTCAATAATTCTTATACATGCCTTATACGGCTTACTGGTATTATAATCTTCTCTTTACTGCAGATGAGGTAGTGGAGGCAGCTGCAGGTGGGAGAGTGTCTCAGATTTTTGGAATGGATTTCAGTCTCCACCCAGTAAGCTTTTTTCAATGGACTGGAGTCTCTGAAATTGTTTGGGTAACACATTACACTACAGTGTGTAGCAGCATTCAGGTTAGAAGGAGCCAGCTGGCTTAAATTTCCATCAAAAGAGGCTCCAACTTATTGAAGGCTGGTTCCCATATTGGATGGGAACCATAAAATTCATGACTAGGGTAATGCTTCACATCCACAAAAAAGAATTCAGGTTTGTGTCTCCAAAATGAAAACCTGCAGTTATCATTCAGATCCACTTGTGATAGATTTTGAGCTCCACCTTTCACAGTCTCAGAGCAGAATGTGAATGCATAATTCCTGCCATTTCATTTGCAGATACCATTTCTCCTCTAGCACAGGCAGATGGCAGTACCTTTGCAGTGGCATTCAACAGCACAGATCAGCCTCTTCCTTCCCAATATAGATATACCACAGATAAACAATAGATTGTCTTCCGTAAAAGCTCTGGGTACTATGGCCAATGAACTCATGGCAGTTGCTCATAACTGCATACAGAAGTGGCCCTCTCTACTTACTGGGGTCCGCTGTTCATTCTCCGAGTGTTTTCCTTTTCTGTCCAATAGGAAGTGGGCTTTTTAAAGAAAGCAGTGAGTCTCTGGGCCAGACCAGGAGATGGATGGATGGATGGATGGATGGATGGAGTTAGTTAGTGCCTGTCTTATACATAAAAGTCTCAGGACAGTGGATCTTTCCCCACCTCAAGGCGACAAGAGCATTGACAAGAGATAGGAGACCTCTTAAGTGTGGTTTACTGGCCAGTTACAGAGGGATCACATTTCAGCAAGCTATATCAAGAAGGAATAAGTGTGTGTGCATGCGCCAAGCATGAGGGGAGTCAGAGCCCACTGGGGGCTTTGTCAGGGCTCAGCTGGAGTGTATGTTGGCCCTGGTCCATGTGTTAAGGGCATGGTAATTGGTGTCCTCTGCATGTTGTTCTCTGAACCCTTGGGGTAATTGTCCCCAAGCTGGTACCTCCCAAATGTGTTGGATTACAACTCCCATGATGCCCAGCCAGCATTGCCACTGTCCATCTGCCACTGGGTTGGGGAAGGCTAAGCTAGGGCATACTTCCCAACCTAGTGTCTTCCTGATGTTTTGGGTCACATCTCCCAAATGTGAGATGTGGGCATATTGGCTTTGGAGGATGTAATCCAAAAGATCTGGAGAGCATTCTGTTAAGGACAAATGACTTAATTCTTAGACAGTTTCAGTGCTATGACAGATTTCGCACTTCAGTGTGAAATGTGAAATGGCTGTGAATGTTTGTCTACCCAGAAAGTGGTCCAAAGAGCCCCAATATTGTAGTTGGCTCTGGATGTAAGCAAGTCAAGGGCATTCTTGTCCTTGGGTTGAGAGTGTTATACTTCAGAGGAAGAGATGAATGATCAGAGACATATAGGGTCTCTCTATGGTCAAGGAACTTCCAGAAAGAGAAAGAATTAAATTCTGATGCAAACCTAGCGCATCACATCCCTGATTTTTTCTGAAGTTTTTTTTTTTTTTAATCTTTCCTTTGCAACTTGGCAGAAAGGGTGTCATGAGCCTAACGGTTAGTACAGCAGCCAGCACAATGTAAACAGAAGCACCAACAGGATGGAAAGTGAGGGAGGGACAAAATTTCAAACCAGCTTCTCAGCCTGAGTATAGCGTACTCTGGGTGGCAGCCAGGAATACAGCTCTGAAAATTGGATGAGCAAGCCATATCTATGGCTTTTCCCTGTTCATATATTTTGCAGTATTTGAGTTGAGGGAAGGGGGATTCTCCACTGCAGTTAGGAATGTGTCTCTCTCTGCAAAATACCATCTGCATGTATTGACTGGTACTATATTTAAGGTTAGAAAAATGTTAGGAGGGCATTCGGGAATGGTGGACCGGCCTGTGCCGCACCATTCCTGGCGGAACAGACATACCGAGCCAGTTCAAGTACAGTGATCCTGGCCAGGAACAGGGCAGGGCTCCGTGCACTCTGCTGTGCAGGTACCAGCTTCAGTGTCTCTACCTGGTTCATTTAAACCCATCTCCCAACACATCCAAATGTGCAGCTGTAGCTTAATGTCTGTTTGCAGATCAGGATCAAAGGATTCGTAAATAGATACGAAGCCATGGTGCCTGTTTTCATACCTACAGGGCAAACCCTGGTTTAAAGGAATCAGGACTGAAGCCATGCTGCGGAGGAGAGCTGAGGCAAGGGAGAGCCATGTGGGCCTGGCTCCTGTTCCTGGCTGCCTTAACTGTGGCACAGCAAGTTTGATTGTTACGTCCAGATGAGTCCTCTCTCTGGTGCTGC